ATAAAACTTATAATCTTATAAGTATTTTATTAGATTTAATATTATTTATTATATTAGAAACTATACAAACTATAAAATTATAAAACTATATTACAGTTAATGCTCTAAGTATAAGAGAGTGAGGCGATATAATGTGGTGTAATTTTAGATATTTCGTGCGAAAAGGGCTCCGCTAAATCTAGCTACCTAATAGGAGCTTAAGCTAAAGCCCTTAACTTATTTCGGTTAGTAAATGCGAATAATAAACCTCGCCTATTCCTTTACCACCCTTTCCTTACCACCCTTTCCTTACCGTCCTTTCCTTACCGTCCTTTCCTTACCGTCCTTCCCTTGCCACCAGCCCTTTCCTTGTGGACAGGAGTTGCGACCCCAAGCTCAACACACCCAGTGCAGGATCCCGAATCAGGACTTTCATGTGAAAAGGCAGGCTTTAGTGCGCCTTCAACTTGGCGACCCTAAAAGCTTTGGCTATGGAAAGTTTCTTGCTTGTACAGCTACATCACATCGCGGGCTACATGATGCAAGAGCTGATCATCTATAAAGACATTCTGATATGGATATCGTGGGGGCGGACGCACCTGTTTCCAATGAAGTGGCTGCAAAGGCACAAACATTTGTACGTCGTCGGATGCCTCAAGGTGACGAAGACTGGGATTGCATCCTATCCTCCCAAGAGAACGAGACAGCTAACCTTTCACGGGTTTCTTCCCGGCGATTTGCCAGACCTGACAGCAGATATTCCAGGGCCAGATCATCTAAAGCAACGTGATCTTTTCGCGCACCATCCTTAAACAGCATATGGCAGGTACTGAACCAACAGCTGCAAGTGTATCCTTTTTCGCATAGGCTCCCTTAGTTCGAGCCTTTAACGCCAAGCATGTCTAGTAAAGGCATCCTGTATTTGTTTGTTTTGTAGGTGCAATCTAATAGCAGCACATGGGGATAACCCTGTAGATATTCTAGTGAGCCTGAGTGCATAAACAGTACAGTTGTGACCTGTCCACTTTCATCAAATCGCATTCGATTCCGGAACCCTTCCTCGTCGAGATAGCTAGCAAGCGCATGCATGTTACTTTGACTCGCAGACATGTTTCTTCTCACTACCGTAATGCGATTATAGACGTTATTTTGTGTGGCCGTAGATGCAGAACGATGCCGCAAATATGTTCTGATATCCCTAGGTGTGATGCCAACATTAGCAAGATTCATGAGCAGCGTGATGTCCTTATCATTAAACTTGCGATGAACTGGATGAGACGTGGAGCACTGACTTGGCTCATGATTATGCAACGAAAAAAGCAGGTCTTAGCTAGAACGGAGAACGGATAATTGGTTCCACGACTTGTCGTTTTGCGTTCCCCTTTCCAAATCTATTATTACCGTGCAGAAATGCCGATTATGCGATTCAAATTGCCACTTAGTATGGTCAAGCCGTTTACTGATAAACATGCAAACCCTTACAGGTCTTTCTCCTTTAGCTTGGGGGTAACATAGGTGGAACAGGTCTTTTGCCGGGTGGTGTGTGGTATTCATAAAGGCATTCACCCACGGCTCTTAGATGGCAAGTATATTAAAGCCCACTATCTTTGGATCGCGTAAAAGGGTAGCCATAACGATATCTCTTGATTTCCCGACGTTATACTGTAGTATTAAGAGCGATCCCATGAGTCTCATTCACCGTTGTTAATGTCCATGTTCTCCGCTTGGTAGGCACCGTGTAATCGTGCTGAGTTTGTGTTAAGGGCCTCTAATGTCCTTCTAGATGGTGTGGTAGTTCTTTGTGGT